TGTTCTGAAAGTAAGAAAAGGAGTGTGGGAGAGAAACTCCCTCTTGATAGAACACAGGGATTTTAGCCTTTGCAGACCATTTACATGCACTAAAACCTATATAACACACTACAGGAAAGGGATACCCCAAAAAGCATGATAGGGCCCCTTTAAACCCCTCCTGTCTTCCACTAAATTCATTATCATTATCACATATTATGTAACCCCTAACATGCCTGGCTCCTTGAATGTTAAATCATCCATTGACTGAGATAATCTAAATGAAACAGTCACCCCATGTCCAGTTTCAAGACGAATGGATCATATCATCTTATTACAAAACCAAAATATTTAGCATCTCACTGGGATTGAATGCAGGAACTGAACTAAATGTACTTTCTGGTGAGCAGGAGAGCCAATAAAAGTTATTCTACAGAGACAAATAAACAGACAGACAGAGGGAGGCAGACGGGGAGAGCGGGGGGGGGCAGCAGATGCAGCTCTGAGGCTGGAAGGAAACACTCAAGAGATCGCTGTTGTCTTTCCTCCTCTGCACTAGTCTCTACACGGTAAGGGTTCAAAGGATATCCACTAAATGACCGTGCACTATACTGAACGGTGGGTGGCAGCTCACAGTCCCAGTGTCACGAGATGTCAAGCATTTAAAGAGGCCCTATTCTGCTCTTTGGGGTTTTCTCTTTCCTGAAGTGTGTTACACAGATTTGTGTGCATGTAAATGGTCTAAAAGGCTAAAATCCCTGTGTTCCCTCCAGAGGGAGTTTCCCTCCTACACACCCCCCTGCCTGAAACGCCTCCATTGGACTCCTTTGTTTACTTCCAGAACATAGTGACATTACTACGTAACACTTACGCTTCTATTGGGTAGCGATACAACACATTGTACGTGATAGGCTGAGGGGCGGGACATCTCTAAGCGGTTGACCAATCACAACAGAGCCAGCTAACCAATCAGAGCAGACTGGGCTCTGGTTTCAGACAGAGGGTGAAAAGAGGTACTGCAGCACAGGCAGTATGAGAAACATAAAGAGCTTTTTGAACATTAAAGCACGGAGACATGTAGAGACACTACATACTGATATACACCTGAACATCAGCAGGAGAGGACTCTTTAAAGTAGAGACACTACATACTGATATACACCTGAACATCAGCAGGAGAGGACTCTTTAAAGTAGAAACACTACATACTGATATACACCTGAACATCAGCAGGAGAGGACTCTTTAAAGTAGAGACACTACATACTGATATACACCTGAACATCAGCAGGAGAGGACTCTTTAAAGTAGAGACACTACATACTGATATACACCTGAACATCAGCAGGAGAGGACTCTTTAAAGTAGAGACACTACATACTGATATACACCTGAACATCAGCAGGAGAGGACTCTTTAAAGTAGAGACACTACATACTGATATACACCTGAACATCAGCAGGAGAGGACTCTTTAAAGTAGAGACACTACATACTGATATACACCTGAACATCAGCAGGAGAGGACTCTTTAAAGCAGAGACACTACATACTGATATACACCTGAACATCAGCAGGAGAGGACTCTTTAAAGTAGAGACACTACATACTGATATACACCTGAACATCAGCAGGAGAGGACTCTTTAAAGCAGAGACACTACATACTGATATACACCTGAACATCAGCAGGAGAGGACTCTTTAAAGTAGAGACACTACATACTGATATACACCTGAACATCAGCAGGAGAGGACTCTTTAAAGTAGAGACACTACATACTGATATACACCTGAACATCAGCAGGAGAGGACTCTTTAAAGCAGAGATACTACATACTGATATACACCTGAACATCAGCAGGAGAGGACTCTTTAAAGTAGAGACACTACATACTGATATACACCTGAACATCAGCAGGAGAGGACTCTTTAAAGTAGAGACACTACATACTGATATACACCTGAACATCAGCAGGAGAGGACTCTTTAAAGTAGAGACACTACATACTGATATACACCTGAACATCAGCAGGAGAGGACTCTTTAAAGTAGAGACACTACATACTGATATACACCTGAACATCAGCAGGAGAGGACTCTTTAAAGTAGAGACACTACATACTGATATACACCTGAACATCAGCAGGAGAGGACTCTTTAAAGCAGAGACACTACATACTGATATACACCTGAACATCAGCAGGAGAGGACTCTTTAAAGTAGAGACACTACCTACTGATATACACCTGAACATCAGCAGGAGAGGACTCTTTAAAGTAGAGACACTACATACTGATATGAACCTGAACATCAGCAGGAGAGGACTCTTTAAAGTAGAGACACTACATACTGATATACACCTGAACATCAGCAGGAGAGGACTCTTTAAAGTAGAGACACTACATACTGATATACACCTGAACATCAGCAGGAGAGGACTCTTTAAAGTAGAGACACTACATACTGATATACACCTGAACATCAGCAGGAGAGGACTCTTTAAAGTAGAGACACTACATACTGATATACACCTGAACATCAGCAGGAGAGGACTCTTTAAAGCAGAGACACTACATACTGATATACACCTGAACATCAGCAGGAGAGGACTCTTTAAAGTAGAGACACTACATACTGATATACACCTGAACATCAGCAGGAGAGGACTCTTTAAAGTAGAGACACTACCTACTGATATACACCTGAACATCAGCAGGAGAGGACTCTTTAACAACACATCGAGAATGAACACAGAAGAGTGCAGCGGCAGTCTGATCCCGGAAGTCTTCCAGGCATGTGGGAATATGTATGTGCTTTTGATTGTTGAGAGGAACCATGTCCTAATAAAAGCTGCTTTTGTTGCACGGGCACATCATGTACTGAATGTATAGCCAATTTCCAAGGGTAATTGAAATAATCTAAATAATGTCTGGAACAGATAGTGAAAGGGCACTTGGAAAGCCATTTCAAATATCAGTTCTTGGCCGTTCTTGCAAGCCCTCCATCCATGTTGGACCCTTCCTCCAGCCTATTTCTCTACTTTCCTTCACATCCTTTGACTCTTTCCATCCATCTCAGATTAACTGTAATACTCTCAATTCTGGCACATTGTTGCTTAAACTGAACCAGACTTTTTTTTTTGCTGTAAAGAACTCTCATAAAAAGGTTGTTTATTGCTCCATGCTCAAAAGGTTATGCACAGAACTTTTATTCTACTGTATTAAAGCATCACTCTGGAGGTCCGACCGTATCTGGGTAATTAGTTTAGTTTGCGGTGATAAGAATCGGCCTGCAGAGGAGTTATACCGTTTTCCTCCGTATCGAAAAACAAACAACTTTCAAGCTTTCACGCCTGGATTCCAGGGTAAATAAAGCAAGCATAAACAAAAAGAGTGATGCTGTTTTAGGATTAAACTCAGCGTATTGCCGTGATATGCACCTTGGTCTAATCAAAAACAGAAACACGGAAGATTGGGCGGAAAAACAAAGCCTGAAATGTCTGAAGAAGGAAGATTTGAGGATGTTTATCAGAACCATTTCCAGACCCGTTGGCACAGTGGGATTATCATAACATACGCAGAACCGAATCTTGTCGGTTGTGTGTGGAAGAGGCCAGATGGGATGTTTTTTTGAACAAGAGCAAACTAAGACAGCTGCACAATCATCACATTGCACACAATCCCTCTCGTTGCCTATCGGAGGTGAAGACAGGGAGAGGTGTATTCCTCTGGAAGCCATTAGCGGTCTGTAGCTGTGTAGCTTCACCATACAGCACACAACCTGTGGGATTATTGAGAGGAGTACCTACGATTTCCATATCCTGCATATTTATTATAACAACATGTATTGCTACTGTATGTACCTGTATCATCAAGTTACCTAGTTTGATATCTGTCTGTCTGGGAGCCTTTCATGCATATTATGGAAAATAAGGCAAGGCAAGGCAAGGCAAATTTATTTATATAGCACCTTTCAACACAAGGCAATTCAAAGTGCTTTACAAAAATGGAAGACATTAAGAAAATGGCATTTAAAATTAGTCATTAAAAAGAAAAGGACATTTCTTGAGGAAGAAAGCAACATTTTTTATCTAAATGTATTATTTGGATTATTGTGACTGTTATTGTTGTTCATATTATTTGTTTACGGTTATTTTTATTTGTTTATTATTATTGTATTATTCATTATCCAGCAGTGGCTCAGTCAGTAGGGGCTTGGACTGTGAGCCGCAGGGTCGCCGGTTCAAGTCCCCGAACAGACCTAAAATAAGGAGAGTGGACTTCTACTTGGAGAGGTCCCAGTTCACCTCCTGCCCTGCCGTGGTGCCCTTGAGCAAGGCACTGGACACCCCTCACTCCCATTGCTCCCCGGGCGCTGTACAATAGCTGCCCACTGCTCCTAGTACTAGACTCCTGGTACTAGGATGGGTTAAAAGCAGAGAACACATGTCACTGTGTGCTGTGTGCTCAGCATGTGAGACCATTACAGAGGGTATCATCCCTTCGATTCTATTCTATTATTATCATCACCATTATGTGCATGTCCTTTTTACTGTATTGACTTTATTTAAGTGATATGTCAGTCAATGTCTTTTGCATTTAATTATGTATTGTTTGATTATTGTCAGGTTCGTTTTTTGTTGTTGCTGTTTTAGTTTAAGTGCACTTTAAATGTCGAAAAATAAATAAAGACAATGGCAAGACAATAAAGAAAAATAAGGATGTTTTTTCCTTTCCGTCTGTTTTACCCTGCAGTTTGGACGTTCAACTTTTGCCACATGTCGCCCATTCCTGTAAGTGATCTATATCAAGCATCTACAATGTAATTGTGTCTCCATAAAGTTTCAATTGTAATGAGGAAAACAGACTTTTCGGAGCTTTACTTGAATAATTCCATGGTTTTTGTCACGCCGGTTTAACCCTAAACCACAAAGATGTTTTGAAAATCACCAAAATCAGATCGGACGTGCACGATATTCACTGGACGGCAACAATATATGATATATCATACCCCTGGATCTATATATATGTCTTTATTATGAAATCCATTCATCCTGCAGCATGTGTGTATGTACTTCATGTGTTCAGGAGTCTCTTTGAATGCATGCAGCAGAGCTAGTTGTTCCATCATGTCCTGCCAGCACCTAGCTTCCTGCAGAGCCAGCCGCGGGGCACCGGGCCACAGAGCACTTTGTTTTTGTGTATTTCTTGTTTCACTTATGTTCAACAGTCTGCTTGTGGCAGGTGCACTGATGCATGGTGCAGTTAGTGTTGCTGCCCTTTAGTTTATTCCAGATGAAACACATCAGAGTGTAACCAGTGCTGCATTTGAAACTATTCTCACATTGGCTGTGCTCGGTTCTCAGCAAAACGACGTCAGCTGGTTCTCTATAGCCCAGTTTTATTACAGTTTATTCCTGATTATTCCCCCTCCAACAGCCTCTTCAGCCTCCTGCCTTCAGGAAGAAGGTTCCTCAGCCTCAGCTCACGCACCTCCAGGCTGGGCAACAGCTTCCTCCACCAGGCGGTCAGGCTGCTGAACTCTCTCCCCTCCCTCCATCTCTTCCGCCCTCTGACATCTCTCCCCTGAACTCTCCACCCTGCCTCCGACCTTTCTCCCCTGCCCCAAATGGTCCTGGACTCTAACCCCCTAACTCACTTTTCTGCCCATCTCCCATGCTACTGCACTGAAACTATACTTTTGAACACTTAAATTATATTATTAACATTTTAAACTGTATACCCCGGTTATCTAGGCCCTTTTTTGTTTTGTTTGATGTATATATGTCACACTGTAGGACTGCGGGAAACGATATCTCGATATTTCTGGATGTACAACATGTAGAATTATTGACAATAAAGCTGACTTTGACTTTTGACTTTGAATTAGCTGCCTAACAAAAGGCCTGCGCTTATTTTAAAATCCCTGTGACATTTGACCTCTTGCTTCCTGTGAATAGCATTGCTAACACCTGCAGTGGTGGAATGTAATAAAGTGCATTTACTCAAGGGCTTTTATTAAGTACAATTGTGAGGTGAGTATTTTCATTCTAGCAGTTTGCTTAGTTAAGATTGTAGATGCCACACTTTTACTTGGAACAGATAATTTAAAAAATTAAGAATTGCTACTTTTATTTAAGAAATCGGAGTACTCCATCCACCTTTAAGATTCTAATTTAATCTGGATTAAAAAGCAACGAAACACAGAAACAAGATGGACCATTTATTTCCTCTTTAAAAGTCCATACAAAAGTCTTCCCATCACTTTCCATTTTTCTCTGTCTAGGTTTAAGTTTCAATTCAATATTTATTCTAACACATTTAGTTAGGGCCTGGTTCATTTGTTTATTTATTTTTTATTTCCTATTTATCGACTTAATTTGTAGATAAATGCTCTTTGTTCAAAATACAAACTCCTTGTATGCCTTGAATTCTAAAGCATTTGGAAAATAAATATATATAGGGGGGATGAGAAGGTTGTGGCGCAGTGGACTAGTGCCTTGGTGTTCGGATCAGGGGAGCACAGGTTCAAACCCCACTGCAGTCAGCATGTCGTTGTGTCCCTGAGACACTTCACCCCAAGTTGCTCCTGTGGGGATTGCCCTCAGTATTGAGTATGTAAGTCGCTTTGGATAAAAGCGTCTAACAAGTAACATGTAATGTAATGGATGATATGGAGTAACATATTTAGAGTCAGATGAATTTGTTTCTACTGCCAACTTGCATATGTTGGGCAGTTGGCAGAAGTTGCAGTAGGTACTCGACATGTCCTGGTTCACAACAGGACTCTATGAGCTGGCAAACAGACTAAAGGTGGAATATTTCTTCATAGACGAGGGGCATCTTGCTGCTTAAATGTCAGGTTACCTGAGCTGTAGGGCAGGAAGCAGCTGGGGTTGAACTCCAGTTTCTTCATGAAGCGGATCTGGCCGTTGTCCCGCAGACAGTAGAGGTTCCTCTCACCCAGGACGAAGATGGAGGAGGAGGATGAGGAGGAGGAGAAGGAGGGCACACACAGATCCAGGGCCTGTTCTCCCAGGACAAACGTCCAGTCAGGCTGAAGGAGATTACATTAGATTTAATACGCTTTATTTATCACAGGTTAGGAAATTGTTTTGTTACAGCAGCGTGAGTTTAAAAAATAAACAAACAGCAGAAAGATAAATATCTAAATAGAGTATCTATAGATAACAAAATATAAAATATGATACGATAATCATTTATTGCCAGATGAAGTCTGAAATGTGAATCACAGCAGCCCCATTTGCAACATCAGACAAGGACAGATATTAAGACACGATACAAAGAAAACAAACATTTAACATAACGGCAAGAGAATACACACACACACACACACACACACACACACACACACACACACACACACACACACACACACACACACACACACACACACACACACACACACACACACACACACACACACACACACACACACACACACACACACACACACACACACACACACACACACACACACACACACACACACACACACACACACACACACACACACACACACACACACACACACACACACACACACACACACACACGGCCTCTGCCTCTGTATGAATGTGTGTGAATGGGTGAATATAATGAATGCTGACTTGTATATGAGAAACACTTTGAGGAGGCAAGAAGAATGGAAAAGCGCTGTATAAATGTAGTCTTTTTTCATCGTTAATGTTAACGGACCAGTGGTAGTGTTGTTGAGGATAGTTCCCAGAAACATTACCAGAGGCCTGTACTACGAAGCCGGATTTTCGCTTAGCCGGCTGACTTCAGGGAAAACTCAGGCTTTCCGGTCCTACGACGCTGGTTCTCTTTTTAGCGGGCTAGATCTCCATGGTAACTTATGCTGAGCGGCTAACCTGCTCCGGAGCAGGTTAGGTTGCAGGCAAGTAACCGGATCAGAGTAACATTAAGTACAGTCCGCGGCACTGTGAGTGCAGACGTCGATGTGTCCCATTATCATTCATATCATATCACATCATAATGTATCATATATTTCCTTATCTGAGTCAGCTTCTTGAGCCGTATCTGGCCGTGCAACACTCACAGTGTCACATACTGTATGCAGAAGTATTATTTTAAGCAACACATTAAGTTGACGAAACACTTGAGTCAAATGTAATTAAAGTCAAATCCACTCGTGTCTTGGACGGGGCAGTGATTTCATAAACCTGTTAATGTACGCATTCAAACACTTTTTCTTTTACCAGCTGTATTCACCTTGCAGGTGCAGCTATGTGGCTTTTATCCTGGATAAAGTGTTTAAGTCATGGATGTTTAAAGTTTAACTTCTTCATATTTGACTAATATTAAAGTTCACTTTTCATTCAGGAAGTATGACGCGCTGCGCTGTCAGTACGCTTGTCCATGTTTGAGATTGGTCGATCGTTGCAAATACCACCCCTTTCATGTGAACGCGCACCTAACTAGATAGGACACGGCTGGCTTGAGCGATCCACTTGATAACCAGCGTCGTAGGACAGCTTAGCGAGAGCGCGTATGTTTTGGGCCAACCGGCTAACTCAAACATATCCAGGTTAGGTTGAACCAGCTTCGTAGTGCAGGCCTCTGGTCCCAAAATATGGATTCCTCTGTTGTTTACATTTGACTCAGGAAATACAAATAAGTAAACCATTTCATGCTTAAGCTGCATATGTGACAGAAACTGACTGAATATCACTGTACACATATAGTCAGTTTATCCGTGGCAGCTGGTGTTTTTATAGACTCACCGTCAGCCTCTTGCCTCCCGTCTTGAGCGGCAGATCCGCATCCTGTCGACTCTCTGCCTCTGCAGCCACAGCCAGAGTCTCATACCTGAGAAAGAGAAACACACAGATGTTTACACACACACAACCACACACACACACACACACACACACACACACACACACACACACACACACACACACACACACACACACAAGTGTCAGTGGATCACATTCAATCTCCTGTCAGCATCAGCGTTAAGGCTGCTGCACGCCGACCACCATTTGCAAGTTGCTTTATGAGCTGTTTCTGAGCTCTCTGCAAACAGACACACAACTGTCAGACATGTAAAAGTGTCAAGGAATGTGTTTGGGTTATGTCAATGTTGGTGTGTGTGTGTGTATGTCTGTGTGTGTGTGTGTGTGTGTGTGTGTGTGTGTGTGTGTGTGTGTGTGTGTGTGTGTGTGTGTGTGTGTGTGTGTGTGTGTGTGTGTGTGTGTGTGTGTGTGTGCGTGTGTGTGTGTGTGTATATTTGGGTACTTTTTAACAGAAAAAACATTAAAATTATGTTAACTATACATTTAACCTCAGTATCTGACCTTTAAGAGGGGAAAAACACACAATTAGCTACTTCAGTTATGATTGGCGTAACTGCAAGTGAAATGCTTTGCTTAAGGACACTTTGCAGGGAGCATTTCTCATTTAAGAATTCCCCTTTAGATATTCGACAGCCAGCCTAAAAAATAACTCTCTGGTTACAAATTGTGCTTCTTTTACCACAAGCCCGAGACCACAACGACATCAGCTTTTTTCCTGAGAGAAATCCCCTCTGTGAGTCCAGGGCAGACATCCTAGTACACATCACGTATTCACATTTGAAGTCTAACTCTGTGAAACATGATCGTTATAAAGTGAATCCGCAGCGAGCGTCTCATATTGCCCCTTCCTCTTTTACAGCTTCTGTCAGGTCAGTCAACAAGCCGCCGACCCCGGGATCTGCGGTCGATCAGTTTTAATCAGCGAGCTGTTTAACGATAAAGTGGTCCGACTGATCTGTGGTCAGTTGATTTTGGCCTCTTCAGCTTTAGGAGTTTTCCAGTAAGAAGCTGGCAGTGGGAGCAACTTGGCTGGAAGCTATCCTTCTCCTTTAACACCTGGATGAACGGAGAGATCCAAAACCGACCCAGCCCGACTGCGGACCACAACCCAAACACGACATAACAGCCGATTTATCCACTCACAGTTTTCTCACTCTGTGTTATATATGTGGGCCGTGGACGGACTGGTAATCACAGCTGGCAGGTATGAAATCCACTTTAAAATCGTAAGGAGCGTAATCCAATATGGCTGCCACATTATGGCCACTGGTTGGGATTCATTCCAGCCATTTAAAAAATGATATTTCTCCTCTGGCTTTAGTGGTGTGAAAAATCTAATTGGACAAACTGACAGCACAAAAACAGCACATGAAGAATGCAGTATGATGTGCAATGTGTTATTGATCACGTTGGATAGTTAAAAACATTCAGTACATGCACATAACATAGATGAGAGTAACACCTACGTCACTTCCGGGCGAAGATTACGGCCCCGCCCACTTTTGGGGGAAAACAAAACTTCAGAATTTGAATTGACCGCCATTCAAATGACAGCGTTGTTTTCCCCCAAAAGTGGGCGGGGCCGTAATTTTCGCCCGGAAGTGACGTAGGTGTTACTCTCATCTATACACCCATGCACTATTTAGCAACTGTTATGCTGATTCTGTGACAATCTGTTACAATCAGATCAATGTTCGATTTTATTTACATTTCTAATTTGTAGCCCTTTTTTCAACTGTTGTGATTTAACTGGTTTGTCGTTTTCCCTTTTTTGTGTGAGTGAACAGAGCATGTTATGATATGTGTATAACACATGAATGTAAAAGGCTGTATTTCATATGGTTAAAATATTAAATACAGATATTTTGGGGAATATTTTGCCTTCCAAATTGTCAAATCGCATCCAATTGCATTGAAGAGCATTTCACTTTTATACCTAGATAAGTGTATTATCATATGCAACCATGAATGAGCTGTTTATTCCTCATACCACTGTGCACATATCAATAAATGAAGTGTTTGATTTGTGCAATGCAACAAAAGATGTATAGTTTTGGATGTATCCGTGCAGTAGCCGTACCCTCTGTGCTTTTATGAGAAACTAACGAGCTGCTTTATGGATGACTGCCAGAAGAGAAACCTTTTCAATCACACCGGGACCATTTCCTGGGAAGAAAATGGACTAAAATATATATTAAACATGTCAGCGGTTTTAGGCTTTTAAAGCAAAACTCAATATATAGACAGGCCGACTCCAGCATGAGTGAATAGATTAAATTCAGTCTAATAGTCCTAAAAAAGCACCTTAAAATAACTGTATTCTTTACCTCTGTTTTCATATTGCTATTCTAGCCTTCACTTAGATGTCTTATTAATTATGGGAAATGAGGTATGAATGAATTAAAAGTGTACATGTGTGTGTGTGACTGTGTGTGTTCAGCTCCATCCATCAGAAGTTGGTTAGATGTTGATTTAAGTGTTATGAACGAGGGTAGAAATCACACAAAGCCCTGTGTGTGTGGGAGAAATTGAGAAACCACAAAAATCTGATTATTCACCTGCATGCCTAACATGTGAGGAGGGAGAAAAGGACACACACACACAACACGTTTTTTGTTTCGTCAAAGTGTGTGTGGTAAAGGTGGTGTGCTCTCTCATACACATGTGTCCGTAGTGTGTGAGTGTGTGTAGTCAGTATCAGTCATCGTGTAGAGTGTAGGACACTTTGAGGAAACAGTGTTCTCATTTATATGAAAGAGGATCTCTCGGAAAGGCTCCGCAAACAAACACACTCATTTACCTGAAACATATACATCATACAAGCATAAACATACACACACACACACACTACACAAACACACACTACATGCACATGCTCTCTCGTTGGATGGGTAAACACAAACTGAAATCTCAAAGCTGACGCCAATAGATACACACACACACACACACACACACACACACACACACACACACACACACACACACACACACACACACACACACACACACACACACACACACACACACACACACACACACACACACACACACACACACACACACACACACACACACACACACACACACACACACACACACACACACACACACACACACACACACACACACACACACACACACACACACACACACACACACACACACACACACACACACACACACACACACACACACACACACACACACACACACACACACACACACACACACACCAAATCAAGCTCTCATTCATCAGGACAGGAGTCAGTCCAACAGGCTAAATAAACTGAGAACAGTTTGATCAGTCATCTGATATTAAATGTATAACACTGACCCCGTCGTCTGATATGGGATAAATATATATATACACAGGCTTGGAGAGTAATGGATTACATTTAATTATGTAATCAGGATACAAAAATGTTATTACCTAAAGTTGGTCAATCATCAGACATGAGCGCTGGTTATATAAAGGTTTCTCTCTTAAAGAGTTGCTTAAGATGTGCATAGATCCCTAGATACGTGGGTGTACCTACACTTTAAAAATGGCATGTTTAAAATGAAATAAAAGTGCATATTGAGTGATTTTGCACAAGAGTCCGATATAGAAATTCAAATCTTTAACGGCTTATAATGTCACAAGAGCCATTAAACATAGCCAAGAAATAAGGGTTTGAAGATTGAATCACATTTGAATCCATATCTAAAAGTAACCCAGAGTTATATTAAGCTTTCTCATCCAGTCCTCATTATTATTGTTTAAAATACTGAATTATTATTTATCGGAACATTTTACCTCAGCCAAGTCGATCCCAAAGCATTTAAGTTTAAATATAATTAGTTAATGCTTTCTTAGAGTTGTATTGGGGCCTGCAACTACTTTGCTAATGAGCTGCTAATGAACTTCCTGATGCTCTTGCTCCACATTGAAAGCTTTTATTGTGAAGCATCTGAAGGAACATCGTTGTTAGAGATGATATATGTTAGTTTGGTGTAGACACATTAACTGCATTGGAAATCACACGCTTGTTGCTGCAGGTAATTCAGTGCCAAGCATATGTAAAGGTGCTCAGTGACTGCTCTGTGTGTGTGTGTGTGTGTGTGTGTGTGTGTGTGTGTGTGTGTGTGTGTGTGTGTGTGTGTGTGTGTGTGTGTGTGTGTGTGTGTGTGTGTGTGTGTGTGTGTTCAGGGGGATTAGTCAAGTCAGTGTTTCCACACTGATATTGATTCTGTAAAATCTCTTGATACTGGTGGGGCATCCAGATAACAAACAGCTGGGAGAGAAAACCACACACACACACCACACACACACAGACTTCTGAAAGCTCTCCATGCCTGTGCCAGAGTGAAATGGGAAGTGCGCATGTGCTTACATTAAAGAGAGGTACTTTCCGATCAAACTGTGTGTGTGTGTGTGAGTGTGAGTGTGAGTGTGAGTGTGAGTGTGAGTGTGTGTGTTTTGCTACATCCAGATGCCTTTAAGATGGTGCAGAGTGACTCAGGCTCACTAACCATCAGCAGCTGATACTGAAGACAGTGGATAGTAGAGCAGCGCGATTTGATAAAAAAAAATAACAAATTCAAATGTATTTTGACTGATATGGCTATTGCGATATACGAAGGATTCACCATGTTTTATCATTACTCTCTATCATTGAAAACACATTTTAAAGGTCCCCTATTATACTGTTTCACATCAATATATTCCAGGTCTCAGATACAAAACCTGTGATTGTCTGAAACACCAAACAGATCATTGCAGCATTACCCATAATCCCCTCTGTTTCAGCCCTGTTTCCAAAACGCTGATTCTCTGTCTGTTACTTTAGATGAAAATAAAGAGCCCCTCCCCACGCCCCTCTGAGAGAGATTTGGTTAAAAAGAACACAAAGGTGCTCTAGGAGGAGATTCAGGTGATAAGGTGGGGGGGGGGGGGTTACCTTGGTTGCTGATTGGCTAATGGTTACACAAGCCAAAAAATCGTTATGACATCATAAAGTGGCCAAAATCTGATCAGCTCATTTTCAGACAGGTTTTTATATATAATAGGTGACCTTTAAATGGCTTCATCCATGCACCTACTTGTAGCTCTCCAGCTGGCGTGCGGCGGACACGGTGAGGAAGCTGTCGGTTCTCCGGCTGTAGGCCAGCGGGCCGGGCAGCAGGAAGCCGGGGAGGAACCTGCCGAAGGTGTAGCTGTCCTGCTCCACGAACATCAGCATCCCATCCATGGACTGGATACACAGCGAGTGGTGACCTGAGAGAGGGAAGACGTGATCACTGGAGAAGCCTTCAGACAGCTGGTCATTGTGATACACTGAAACTTTAATTGAATGTATTATGTCAACAGATGCCAGATTGTGAAAGTAGGCAGGGTTTGAATTGTTTGCCCTCTAAGAACACTTATTGCTTGATGTCCATTTGAACACAATGGATACTTTAGAGGACAGAATTCACTGGGCTTTATTTACATTCATAAACCCTTTTTTTCAGAGACGATGTAAATCATCAGCCCAGTTGAGGTTTGAAAAGTCACTTTTTAACTCAGCAAAATAAATGTTATTTTGACAGCTGTTCAAATGTGTACAAGCCCAATCCCCGTAGCTAAAAAGGCTCTTAAATGTTTTTTAATATTGTTTTTTTTTCCATAGATCTGACTCTGCTGTTTTTTACTTTTAAGTATTTAAACACAAGCAGCAACAAAATACATTGATGGCTTCTGTTTCATTTCAGCCGTGATGTCGTGTTGTGCAATGAGGTGTGTTTCTCCCTCTGGCTGAATCTGATATCTCCATTAACACCTCCACACACACACACACACCTGGCTCTGGGTATGAACGTGCACAGGAGTGTGTGTTTGTGAGGAAAGGCCTGATGTAGGACATGCTAAGCCTTAACACACACGGCCATAAAGCAGTGGGGCTGTGTGACCAGAGGACTATAATTAGGCCTCGACGCGCTATTAAAACTCACACTGCCATCAACTAGAGGTCAGAGAGACAGCCACCTACAGCGCAACTCACTCACACACACACACACCCACACTCGACATCTATCAACAAGGATTTAGACAGAAAAGCTGCTCACTCCTACACACCTATTCTGTGTGTGTGTGTGTGTGTGTGTGTGTGTGTGTGTGTGTGTGTGTGTGTGTGTGTGTGTGTGTGTGTGTGTGTGTGTG